GCTCCGCCGTGTCCGGGCGCCTGCGGGCTGCTGCTGAGGGGAGGGGGTCCTGCGGCTGCGGAGGGCAGAGCCAAGCAACAGAGACGACCCAGATGTTAGTGAGAACAGAGCTGTTTTAATAATTCAAAGAGCAGCTCGGTATGTTTCCCGTTTATTATACATGGTTGCACAATCTGAGGCTGGTTAAATACAATCAAGTTTTCCAAATCTCTTGGAATCATTTCCAGATTACAACATGCAAGTGACCATGAAAGTATTCGGCTTTTTACTTTATTCTTTAAGTTTCTGAACAGGCACTTACATGAGGGAGTTAAATTTGTTCTCATTCAAAGATATCTGCATTAGAAGTATCCAAGGATAAAGTACAGAGTCTTTGTCTGCTTTATCAAAGTGCCACAGTAATAAAACAGTTCTTACAGAAATGTAATTCAATTATTTACTTACTCATAAAGTAAGGTTACCAATGACACTTGCACTGGAGTTGAGAAGTCTTGGTTTAAAGGCCAAGTGAACTACAAGCGCAAGTAGCCCTCCACACAGCAGGCTCCGTTCCGTGCCCAAGCCAGCGTCTGATAACAGACTACACGCTCAGTTGCAAAGGCTAAATCCTTTCAGCTACTTCTTCAAACACTAAATGCATACAAGATGATTGAGACAAATTACCTGCTGTGCCAGACAAGCTTCTAACAGTTTAAAGGCTTGCCTGGCTTCAAGATACCTTTCCAGAAGAACATAAACAGCTTGTTTGCCCTCGTTAACAGTCCCAGATGAACTAGGAGGAGGATGTCCTTTGAGGACGTTTTGCCTCTCCCGTTAGGACAGCGAGGAGACAGACTATGAAGACAATGGAAGCGTGAAACCTGGAGGAACCACATAGTTTCATGTATTTGCAAAATAATCAATGTTACAAGCATTTATTTCATCAATAAGAGATAAAATTATGTTCAAATACTTTACCCGCTCACCACCTGAAGGTGAAATCATGATGACATCTCTACAGTCACTAGTTACTGGGCAACAAACCCCTAAAAGTCAGGAGTGACTGACATGAAAGGCTTAGAGACATATGATAGAGAATTGGGGGAGGGAGGGCAAAGATGCTTCCTAACACTCTTTGCTACTGACAGATTCAAAGCTTCTTAGAAACCCTGGTAAGGTATCTGAAGGCTCCACAGTTATAGTCATAGTGCACATACATGCAGTTTCAGTTAAACCCTGTCTAACTTAGTAATTACAAGTCTTAGGACAAATTTACCATAAACCTCGATTTTTAGTGTGATTTAGTCAATTGTGTCTTACTGTAGTTTGAAAACAAAACAAAAATGCAAATAAGCAACACTGGAAAGAAACATGCAATAAACAACATTAAAGAAGGGAAATGCTTTAGACTACATTGTATAGGTGATTGCAAAAAATCAAATATACCAGCCTACCATGCATGGAAATAACTAGATTTAAGCTTATGCATATCCAAGTGCATATAACATTATCAAATAAAAGTAAATGTGCAGTATAAAATAGTAGCTTAAGAAAGTTCCAGTGTTTGAGAAAGCACTTTATTTTAAATGTATATACATACTTGAACGTTTAACTGAAGAACGCTTTAGTAGTATGGTAAATGCAGCACTGCAAGATGAAGGAAGACAGTTGTAATGGGAATTCTGGCCTTCTTTTCCCACAGGCTGCTGCCATCTTTAACCTGCTGAAGCATTGCAAATTTTTTCACCTTGTACCAGTTCACATTTCAGGTTGCTCAGCAGATGCTTGTGATTCTGGAGATTCAAACCGCTGGCGAAAGTTTGTTCGTTGTTTCCTCAGCTTCTCAGGAGCTTTTCTCCATAAGATTATTTCCTGTTTGAGGAAGTGAACACTTCTGAAACCACCGTTTACCATTAAGCCAGCAGCATCAAATATCTTAAGCTCCTGATAGGCAAAGACTTTTGGGGAAAAAAACCAAACCCACACACCACACAAAAACCAGGAAGACAACACAAATAAGTTTACATATTTAGTTACTGCCTGAACATATAGTGTTATCAATCCCAGAAGTCACCTATTCCTTATCAATCCTACTCCCAACTTCGATAGTGTTAAAGGGTTCAAGAAGTTTTTCTTCCTCCTTTTCTCAAAATCCAAAGCCCATCATAGCCACTGTATGCTCCAGTTAACTTTTGTTCTTCATGTTTAATTATACTACCTTGTCTATTCTTCAAATGGAAGATTCTGATCTAATCCACACAGCTCCATTCCAGTGAGCAATTTCGCTATTCCCTTCCTAAGCATGACCTCAACTTTCATTATGTTTTCAGTCAAATGTCTTGGCACTTATTACAATTTTGCAATTTTGAACCCAGGCTAATGCTGGCAGGGGAAATCTGCAGTAGTTTAAGCAAGCAAGCAAACAAATGCACCTGTAGCTTATTTACCCACAAAGTGTTTTGTCTGGATATTCACAATGCAAGGTTGTTCTATTGCACTGAGCATCCTTATCATTGCAGAAATAGTATCCATCATACTGCTTTGCTCCTTTTTACAAGGTAACATTTTCTGTACAGCTTCCAATACACCCGGCCAGCAGAAATGCCATACAAGTAGCACAGGTGGCTTCCAATGTGCTGAACATTCAAAGCAGCATCTACAACACACCAGATAATTCTGCAACAAGATTTCTATAGACCGTACCTGCTGTTTGAAGTATCGTCTGTCTTCTTCATCCACAAGCACTAGATTTAAGAAGTACCTCACTGAAAATTTTTTGTTCACATCCCTCATTGTTGGAGTTGGGTCATAGCCTGCTAAGAACAGTCTTATAGGAATCGATTCACCTTAAAAAGGAAAGTTTCAATTAGTTCCTTAAAACTGGATGTCATTAACGCAGTTTCAGAAGACATGCAAAATAAAGGCAGTTTCCCCAAGCACTGTCTTTGTCCCTTCCTTGGTTGAAGAAAAAAAACAACCACCAAAAAACATGACAAACATAACAACGAGCACAGAAGCAAGTGTGAAATCAGAAGTGGGAAGGAACACTTTCTCAGTGGGAGCACAGTAGCCAGGCAAGACAAAAGGATCAGTATCTTGAACTCTAGAGAGCTGGTCTACACCATGGAGTAGGTTTGAAGCAAAGTGATAAAAGGATCAGTCATACAATTTCCAACGGTAAATTAGAGTACAAATTATTAGGAACCCAAGCAAAATGCCCTAAGTCAATAGAAATGTCTGCTTTGAATAGGAAAATACACTATCATTTCAGCAACCTAAGGAGAAGTGTGCTTTCTTTTTTTTTTTTTTTAAATTACATAAAACATCTGCTCCTTCAGATTTTTTTTAAACAGTTTTTACTCAAAATGCTTACCCTTTTAAACAAGCACAATTACTTACCTTTAACTGGTGCACCATCCATTATTTCATACTTTGCGATGGTTTCGGTCTCTGTTGTGGTACTGGGTCCTGGTGAAACAAGTTTTCACTGTGAGAACACACACTTCAGTTTTAAACATTTACAAAGCTTTATCACAGCAATTTCAGCTCTGCAGCATTTAAATTACACAACACTGCATTTTTTTGCCTTTGTCTTGCATATAAGCTACAGACAGCTAGAGCAAGCAAAACCCTCTCCCAGGCAGAGCATCTGTTTCTTACTCTCTCCTCCCCATGCTGACACAGAAGAGGCAGTAACCAGCCCTTCAAAGGAGCCCTGGGTATGCAGGCTTTAGACTAGGGACAAGCATGCAGGGTAGGATTTGTGAAAACAGCTCTGTTTGATGGGCAGTGCTAGCAACTCATACTGCTAGGCCATGACCAGACTAGAAACCGGAAGGGCTATCACCCAGTACACCATTCACCTTTCTCCAGAGCCTAGGATGAAGAAACAAGAGTACTTAGTTTAGCCACAAAAGCCAACCATAAAGTAGAGCTTTCTGTCCTTCCTCTATTGCCATGGAGGCTTTCTCATTCTCCACACAAGCAGCTCACTAGGTGCCAAGCCATTGGGGAATGAAGTCATGAGCCACAGCCTCTTACTGCCTTCCTAGTACAAGGGTGTACAAGCCTGATCTGCAATAATCAAGCAGGTTTTGCTTCAAAGCCTCCTGATATTTCCATCACATCAGCTTCAGGCTGACTGAAAAAGACACATCTCCAGAACGTGAGAGATTCATGCTAATCTTTACCAAGCCCACTTTACCAGCCAATCTCTGCAGAGGCAAGGGGGTCTTCAGGATGCATTTTACACCTTTTCCCTTATCTATTCTCTATCAAGGCTGATTAAGCCGCTGCGCATTTATGCCCAAATTCCATTTACAATGGTTTACATTTGTGAAGATAGCCCAACAGTCACAATCCCAGAACAATGCTACAGTGAGAAAGAAGCACAAGGAGCATCAGTTTAGCCAAAGCTGCAACTATTGACTTTACTGTCCATGTTTGCACACGGCTCAACCAGCATGCAAGTCGCCATTTCTTTTGGACTTTGTTTTGCTTACCAATTCCAGTAATCTCCTTTTTGATCAGCTGCAACTCCATGTGCTGAATTTTTATTCTCACTAAGAGGAAATAAATTTTTCCAACAATCACATCCTTTAAGTGATACCTTTAAAAGAACAGAATGAAGTTTCTCAGTAAAGCATAAACACAACTTTTACACCTTCTTGAGTAAAAGTTATAAAGGTAGTTCCCTTGTCTGCCTGTTAATTACTCAGAGCTTACTTCCCCACTAAGCTAAGCATCTCAGCCAGACCAGTGCAATTAGCACCTTTCCATCATTGCAGTATTAGTAAAGGAAGCACTACAGTTATATTGAAAAAGCATAAATCAAGCAGAAATCAAGTCTTAAATATTTGCTAGTGACCTTCCTATTAATACTGAAGGTAGAACAGACAAGTATTCCTCAAAAACGGCCACTGTGTAACCAAATAGCTCAACACAATCATCACTGAAAGTGCTACTTTACATTTTAAGTCTCCAGATGCCAGGTTGTTCATCAGTTATTACAAACTCTACTTTTTTTATCCCGAGATATTTACTTGAATGTGTTTTGTTCTAAGTGACACTTACTTTGACTTATTATATTCAAACTCTATATGAAGACAGTCTTCAATGCCTACTTCCATTTTAATGGAGTTGTTTACATCTGGGTATGTAGCAAGCTGGTGAACAATCAGATCATATTCTTTCACCAAGTCTGACAACCGTCTCACTATTGTCACTTTTAGAAAATACCTAGGAAAAAAGCCACTAAGTTAGCCATAATTATTCAGAACTGCATAAGTAAAAGCCCTTATGTTCTGAAATACAGATATTCTTTGAAAAACAAGTACATTCTCTTAAGACTAAGCAGAAAAGAATAAGACACCAAAATACACAACAAAACACTTATAGGTAGAAATCTAGGAGTATTTCATTTGGTTGTGGGGTTTTGGGTTTGTTTGGGTTTTTTTTAAAGAAAACACATGGACTGTCTTCACTTTATCGAACTGAAATAATTTTATCTATACAAACAACAATGAGCAATTACAAATGAAGTAGAAAAGGCTACGTCATAACACAATCATAACGACTCCAACCAAGGCACACTAGCTACTGGCTGTTACATGTCTGATTTGAAATCCAAAAGGAGGAAGGTGGATGGGAAGGGGGCAGCATACTTGCTAAATTATTAATTTGCTGCAGGGGAGGAGGGGAGAGAAAGCTTAACAGTTACAAACCTCAGTCTGACGTTGGCACCAATGTAGGATTCGTATGGCTTCTCAACCTGCATGAATTCAAAGTCATAACTTCTGTTTTGGGACAGTTCTCCAGGTAAGGCCAGTTCTTTCACTAAGTTTACAAATTCATGGGTATTGCTTTTGTCATTGAAGAGTTCTAAAGTTGAAGAAGTTAAAGGAAAGCATGTTTCAGTGTTTATTTTTAGCAAACAAAACTGTCTCTAATTCGGCAGGAACAGATGGGAGAGGGCAACAGAAGCAATTCATCTGATTTGTTACATGTATTTGACCAAATGTTTTATCCATTTTTTTTAAATTATCTTCAGTTTCAGCAACTTACAGTAAGCATTCCAAAAGAGCTAACTGCAATGAACAGAACATATATTCGAAGCATCACTAGCATGGCTTTTTTTTTTTTTAATGACAGTTTAGCTACCTTTCATAAGTACTTCTTGCCTTGCATTCTCTGTAATTAGCATTGCCCAACTTTGGCTTCCAGTATTTATTGCTGAAGGGACAAAATACAACACCAAGACTGGCTCATTTAGGACAGGCCAGTGGTCCTAACTGGCCTCCCACAGATTAACACCACCAATCAAATGTTATTATTACTACTAGTCTACAATGAAATGGCTTATTATGCTTTAAGTCAGTCATTTGGAAACAAGTTCTTAATACATAAGCATAGACACATCATTTTCACAGCAACAGCATCTCCTGTCCCCAGACCAGTGTCCTTGTTATTCATCCCTAGATGTATGTCATGCAATTCTCACCAAGATAAAAACTTAGAAAGCTAGGGGGAAAAAAAAAAAAAAAAAAAAAAATCAACATTACCATAAAAAATCTAAACACTTTTCTAAATAAAAACAAGCTTCTGTACAATTCACAACTGAAAATATCAGCTATTATCATTAGTGGTAGTTGGTTTTACACAGACTGAAGCTTTTTAGAAGAGAAAAAAAATTTTTAAATCCACAGTGTATCATTGCCAGTTTGGTACAAACTTGGTATCCTTCTATGATGGGGTTACAGCATTGGTGGACAAAGAGCGGGCAACTGACATCGTCCACCTGGACTCGTGCAAGGCATTTGACACTGTCCCACATGATGTCCTTGTCTCTAAATTGGAAGGACATGGATTTGACAGATGGACCACTTGTTCAATAAGGAACTGGCTCGATGGACGCACTCAAAGAGTTGCAGTCAATGGCTCAATGTCCAGGTGGAGACCAGTGATGAGTGGTGCACCTCAGGGGTCAGTACTGGGGCCAGTGCTGTTTGACATCTTTTGTCAGCAACACGGACAGTGGGATTGAGTGCACCCTCAGCAAGTTTGCCAACGACACCAAGCTGTGTGGTATGGTTGACACGCTGGAAGGAAGGGATGCCATTCAGAGGGACCTGGAGAAGTGGGCCTGCGTGAACCACATCAAGTTCAACAAGGCCAAGTGCAAGGTCCTGCACATGGGTCAGGGCAATCCCAAACACAAATACAGGCTGGGTGGAGAGTGGCTCGAGAGCAGCCCTGAGGAGAAGGACTTGAGGGTACTGGTGGACAAGAAGCTCAACATGAGCCGGAAATGTGTGCTTGCAGCCCAGAAAGCCAACGGGGAAAGTATCCTGGGCTGCATCAAGAGAAGCATGGCCAGCAGGTCAAGGGAGGTGATTCTGCCCCTCTACTCTGCTCTCATGAGACCCCATCTGGAGTCCTGCATCCAGCTCTGGAGCCTCCAACATAGGAAGGACATGGATGCGTTGGAGCGGGTCCAGAGGAGGGCCACAAACATGATCAGAGGGCTGGAGCACCTCTCCTACGAGGACAGGCTGAGGGAGTTGGGGCTGTTCAACCTGGAGAAGAGAAGGCTCCGGGGTGACCTTAGAGCAGCCTTCCAGTACCTGAAGGTGCCTACAGGAAGGATGGAGGACTTTTCACAAGGGTGTGTAGTGATAGGACAAGGGGGAATGGCTGTAAACTAAAAGAGGGCAGATTTACATTAGGTATTAGGAAGAAATTCTTCACCATGAGGGTGGTGAAACTCTGGAACAGGTTGCCCAGAGAAGCTGTGGCTGCCCCCTCCCTGGCAGTGATCAAGGCCAGGTTGGATGGGGCTCTGAGCAACCTGGTCTAGTGGAAGATGTCCCTGCTCATGGCAGGGGGGTTGGAACCAGGTGATCTTTACGGTCCCTTCCAACCCAAACCATTCTGATTCTATGATTATCTACAGTGTACTTTGTTTTCTAAGGCAAGCATTTATATAATACAAATTTTATTTACTGTTACATATCCAATACTTTTTGTGCCAGTCAAAAAAGTTGTAGTCTGAAGAGCTGGTTTAAAGTATGTCTTTGACATGCAACTGGAGCAAGTCTCCAAGTAGTGCATACTACTGGGATGCTTTCTGTATAACTATATTAAAACTTGGAAGGATGCAAGAAAACAAGGACGAGTACAAAAACCAGTAGCTTAAATCACTTCTGCATAACTCTGAGGATTTCTGAACAGTAGCACAATAGAAAGTCCCAGAAACACAGAAAATTCAAGAAATACTACATCAAATTAAAGTCATTCAGAGAATAAATTTATGTAGAGTAGACAAAGAACAGCCTGTAGAGCTATTAGAGGAGAACAGACTAAATGAAGCAGACATGTGAGCTCTGCTTTTTCCCTACCTCTAAATGCCTCATTCCCATCACAATGCTGAGTTTATTCTGAGAGTTTGCTTTTACAGTTTGCTTTTACAGCCCCACTGATCAAAACCTCCCAGCAGAAAGCAGCAGGTGTCAGAACTCAGTCATACCTGTCACATAACAGTTCAGACATAGGGTACAGGAGCCTACTGACTGATCAGGAATAGGGAATTTGTGAAATTCCAATCAAAGTCAATTATCTAACGCTGAAACTTGAAGATTTACTTCCAAAGCAGACAATAATGCAAACAGCCCTCTAACGGAAGGAATTTTAGCATCAGCCTAAGGGTGCAGAGGTTACCTTGAGTGACAAGAAGTTAGACATGAGCAAGTCTCTTTGCAGTTCAAATCTGACAAGACTTTATGATACAAATTATAAGAAAATTACATTCTTAACATCAATACCACATTATCTTGCCAAAAAGCAGAGACCCTCTGAAGCTTCAATACTATTTTATGTTAACAGTATAGAACCACATTTTAGAAAACCAACTACCAAAGAACGATTTTAGAAGTGTTTTCCTATAGGCTGCCCCATCAGTTCTTTTCTATGCTGCTTCTCTTTCAGAACCAGAATTAAAGACCAGAATTAAGAATTCTGGCACAGTAGGTACACCAGATATTTTGGCTTGGAACCTTCAATGCAAAACAAGGAATAAGCAGAAAAAAAAAATAAAGTACTTTGATTTTGCTTTTTGCATCATTTATAATCAGAGGGAAGACTGTGTTTAAGTTAAAAATGAATAGTCTGAAACATATGAAGCAGAAACCACGTGTACCATGGTCACAAGTTTAGTTTTTTGAAATCTGTAGTGGTTCTTAATCAAAATCTTCAACAGTCCAAGGCAGACGGAATACTCACCATCCCAGTCCTCCCTCACATGTACGTATCTTCCCTCCCAGTGATTTTCTGACTAGCACAAATTAGTACATCACTTGCGTTAAAATGAGTAGGATATAATCTTCCTTTGACACTTGCCAACCACTAACCCGATCAGGTTGCAGTGTTTGAGCCAACCTGCTGACAGTCACAAGTGCAAAGTTCCATAAACCACACACACCTAACATCACAATTCTGGGATGTTCAAAACTCACCAATTTGTCCTACAAATTCAATTCTAATTCCTTGGTGCTCTAGTCTCTTCCCATGCTGCTTAAAGGAGATGTTCACCTATCAAGGTGAAAAGAAACATAGTTAAAATCTTTTCAACACTTTAATACATCATCTTAGTAAAAAGGAAAGTACATTATTACATGCCTATAAAAACTGAGACCTCTTTCTCAACGGCACTATTTGAACTTGAAGGCAACCCAATCAAACAGCTGATTATGAAATTAAGCATTACCCAGGTGCCACTAAAGCATTTAAGAAAAACCTCATCATCCATGAGACTGAATTTATTAAGCAAGATTGAAACTTTCGAGTCCAAAATTAAGAATCTAAGCCAGAGCTTCAGTAGAGTTCGATAAGCCAGCCCTTGCCACCTTTGAAGGCAGAGAACTTCAAAGCATCTTCTGACAGTCACATCTGGAAGTCCAAAAAAGAACTGCCATGAAATGCATTCCTTTCAAGTCAAGTGAACTGAAGTCCTTTCCTCAGCAGGTAGTTAAGTATTGGTGTTAGAGAAGTCAGTGAAAAATATCAGATAAGGAAACCTACTATCAAGATCAGCATTTGTGAATTTGATTCTCGATATCAGACCTTGCCTCACAAGAAAATTTTCCTTAAGGTTACTTTATATGGAAACATGTAAATATTAAGCATATATAATGTTGCCTTATGAGGTAGCAATCACCAGAGAAATTTCTGTACCTTAAAATCCAGTAAATCGTTGATATTTGAGTAGGAAGTAAACCACTTGAACAATCTACCTTTGTGGTGAAAAGAAGGAGAGAAGTAGGGGGACACTGTCCAACAAATTACTTGTCTGCCATCCTCACCCCACTGTGCTTATGTTAGCCAAAACTCATCAGGCACCTCTCAGGCACTGCTGACACAAGTGAGAAGCGCTCAGGCTAGTGAACATATGAAAGCTAGTTCCCTCAGTTTCCCGAGTCTGAGGTCCATCTTGTCAGAGTTTCACATCCCTGTCTAGAGAACAAAGATCTTAGCGTGGAAAGGTATCTTACGAGCAGGAAGATGCCCTGTGACAACAGGTCAGTCAAGATCGAAGTAGGTATTTAGAAGTTAATCTCAGAACCCAGTACCTAGCTCACGTTTTCTGGAGGAAAAGTGAATCGTAACAGAAATATTCAGAGACTGAAAATGGCTCCAGTAAAACCAGAATGATGGCAGGGAGTCCCTAGGTGCAATACTGGAAGTAGAGAAATCCCTCTGGCAATCTCAACTTCATTTCTTTCCCCCCAACACGAAAAACTCTTGTTGACTCAGCAGCCAGCTGAACTTCATATGTCGCTCCTCTGACGCAATTCCAGAAACCACTTCACGGCATGAAACACAAGGCTTGGCTTCAGGGTACATAAAGCAGGTGGGCTGCATCATCCAAAAATGATGGTTACACATGTTGGGTTGTGGATTTTGGAGTTCAAGGGGAAGTGGAAGCAGGGGGGATCCAGTTTGGAACACTTTTCTCATCAGAAGCAATGACAGGATCACACACAGTTGCACAAAAAGCTTATTCATAAATACAAGATGACCGGAAACAAACAAACAGCTACCATTCAAAACATTCAGTTCTATCCATTGCCTGAATAACTACGGTTAAAAAGACCACATATAGGAAAACACTGTTTCCTCTTTGAATAACAGCACAAACTGAAATTGCAGCTCTTGCTTGTATCAGTTTTTCATATGCCTTCCTATATGCTTCTGCATGCCAGAATCAGTAATTATAATCACTTTAAAAAAAAAAATTACCTTTCCCGAAACAGATTCTCCATCATAGAAGAGAAAATGCTTTTCTACTTTACCATCTTCTGTTTTGATTTCTGCTGTTTTTCGTGTTTCTGCATCATTAAGAATAACATCAATCTCACAAACAGCACCAAAAAAGCCTCCAAGAAAACTCTGGAATAACAAGAATTAGGTAAGTTACTACACAGTGGACACTCCATTTACTTGCAGCTGTACACTATATATTGGGGAAAAACATTTGTGCTCCCATCAAGTTACAAAGCCACTATGTATAAGAGACCAAAGAAACAGAAGTGACAAAAGACAGTTGTTCATCTAGCAAATAACTGAAATCAGCTCAGTAACAAGCAGTGACAGCTCTTACAAGATATGTTTATAAAAACATACACTGCATAATTACCATTATTACTACTACACTAAAATACTAACAAATACTTACAATGTTACTGTTGCAAACACAGCTTTGGTTTCTGTCATTGCAAAGTTTCCAGTCACTGATTCACTTTTTTAAAAAAATCCATCATTTTTAAACAACACTTTAAAAAAAAAAATCTTTGTAACAAATTTATTCCATCTAGTCTAGGATTTCAGATATCATGCCAAAACCTACATATTGCTTTATACCCACTGTAACTTACTGCATAAACAACAGTAACAAGGATGTTCAGAACTAGGAGGAATAACAAAGTAGGGTGAAAAGAAACAACAACAGGGGATACAAGGCCTAAAGCATCCCCTGCATTGGCAAAGGGGAACAGGGACTTCTATTTGCTGCCTCTTCCTACGGCCCACAGTTCTCTCAGCAAATGAGGAGAGTACTAGCAGGTTCAAGAGGCAGCATTTCTTCATACAATCTACCTCAGCTACACAACTCTGCCATCAGATAGAGCAGACGTCACAAGTTTACCCGCAATACTGCTCCAGGCACCAATCCATGATGAGCATTAAACGTTTGTCCTCACCTTACAACAGCATTCCCTAGGCACGAACTTTTGACCAGCACCAAACACAAGAAACTAGGAGAGACCATCCTTTGACCTTGCACAAACACTTCCTACAAGAAGCTGCAAAACACATTAGCGGCTCTATGGGAAACTCAGCAACATTAGTGCAAAAGCCCTCATTTTCTCCTATGAATTAGGCACTAATCTGCTTTGATGTACTAAAGCAGACAATACTTCACTAATTCAGTGCGATTTCGGGGGTTTTTGGAGAAATTGCACTATGTTCTCAAACGAGAGCATCTGCTTCAACTAGAGAATTTGGTGTACGTGAAACAGTCATTCTCACGCCACCAATTTAATCTCAAAAACTGAGTAAGAACATATTTCAAGACATTCTGGGGACCTGAAGTTTGAAATGTAGCATTAATAACACAAAGTCTAGCAGAAAGTTAGATCTGAACGCTGCTGCCTAGCAGTAGAAACACCAATTTTTTGCTTACCCCTACAAGTAAAGCAAAGACATGGTGCAATTTTGAGCTATAAAACAGCAATTCACAAAAGACTAAACCAACTTTGTATTGTTCAGATAGCAAGCGGCCCTAGTTCAATCCACAGAGATGTACAGAACTAACTGAAACCTAGTCATACCTACTCCACATTCCCACAGGAAAGCAGAAGCAGGTAACCAACAAGGTGGTCAAACTAAGACCGAACAGTCCTCCAAGACTCTGCCAAGCACACATTCACATTAATTGCTGGAACAAGAAATAAAATTTTTCTTTTTCATGACTGCACACTAGAACCACTCTTGATTTTTGGCTCCTGGGGAAGGGGGAGAGAGAAAGACAAAAGTTTCAACAAGAATTCCAAATCTCTAGACTATTTTAAACTGTTACACAGATTACTTTTGGGCATGCCTGTATTTTTGTCCCCTCAGAAATTCTGTATTCATTCTCCAGATTAACCTTCTACGTTTTCCCACCCCCCAAGCAAACAATGAAGCACACTACCTTTAAGTACACATTATACAAGATGGTCTCCCGGTGCCTTCCAAATCATGAAGCTGTACCATCATTCAAAGCAGTCAGCCAGACCTAACACTGGTAACACATCACTTCTGAAGACACTGCATATGCATATTTCAACTGTACCCCTTAGAGATTAGCCATGATCTCATCCAGAGAGGACAAGAACATATGGAATAAGGAATTCAACAGCTGGTATCTCCTCCAGCTGCTGTCGAAGATACTGCTGCAGGGAAACTACGCAGAACAAGAAGTATTTGAAGAAGCCATCATATGGCTTATAACGTTACAGCTTAAGAACGTGAAGACAGAGAACTAATGTTTCCAGAAGCGGGCCAAATACTAGGCCATTTTCCTGATTTCGTGCAAAAGACAGACACTCTAGGTTTTGCTGCAACAGGACTGCGATCCGTCTGCGCTCAGCCCTGACGTGTTCTGGCTGTACTAAGGGAGCTGCAGGACTCCCAGCAGCTGACTCCCAGTGCAGAAATCCCAGCCTCTGCTTCCCGCAGAGTCTTCAAAAGCTCTTCCATGCCCACAAGAGATGGGGACACGCGTTCGGGAACCCACCCACACGCTCCAGACACCCGACGGGCGCTGATCCAGTAGCACACCGAGCGCTTCGCCCAGGCCAAGCCT